TTCTTGATAACCTATTGCATCTTTCCCAGAAACTGGTCTTGCAAAACCTGTTATCTAAATACAGAGACCATAAAACTGTGAGCAGTGCACTGCCCGGGAGGGGGGTTATTAACGCAGGTGCTGTCTCCAAGCCAGATCATCAGATAAGGCCTGGAGAAACCCAACACCAGGGGGCCTTCTTGCAAACCTTGAAAAGGACCGGAAGCATAATCCATATTTGCGGGACAAAGACCCCCTGCATGTTACTTTACTCGGATTTGGGAAGTTATTCCGCTGAGTCCGCCTGTGTATTAAACAGTGTAACTCCTTCTCTCTAAAAGCGTTGCTTGGTTTTTCTTTGGTCTTCTGCAACAGTCCCTGCTGCTTTCATATAGCTTCCTTCTTACATAACCATAGTTTAATATTACTCTTATTTTTATTTATTTTTGTAATTTGGTTAGTGTTTGCGAGTTTATATAAATATTCTATTCTTTATTAAACATTCAATTAATTTACTTAACTATGGACTCATGGTTTCCTATGTTATTCAGTGGGTTAAATCCATTCTTATTTATTTTGATGTTCCAATAGTCCTGGTTTGGCTAGTAGGAACCTCTTCAAATGGTCTTCTGGGTTCTTTTGACATGTCCTCATCATTCTTTGATCATCTCCTTGCTTTCTGGGAAAAGATGTTCCAGGTGCATCTTGGGCTTTCCCTGTCCCAGGGATGAATCAGTTCTCTAAGGAGTCCTAGTCCCATTTAGTGGAGATTGGTACTTAGGAACTGAGATCTAAGTACTAAGTGCACTCATTTCTATAGGGTGTCCCTGTTCCCTGGCCTGCTCAGTGGTTACAGTTGGGAATACACACACATTTACTAGTACATAGACAACACATACACACAAACACATACACACATTTACAACTATATTTACTTGCATATCTATTTACCTATCTATCGGTTGGGGAAAATAAGACATTTTTGGGGGGCTATCAATCTGAATCTGTGCCAGTAACCTAAGGTACATCCTATAATTAAGTCACTGCTCCTTTTTACATAATCTGGTCTTGCAAGACCGATTTACCTAACTACTCATATTTTACAGAGGCCATAAACCATGAACAATACACAACCCCGGGAGGGGGTTATCAGAGCTGGCACCAGGCCAGCCCTTTAGAAGGTGGTCTCACTGCCCCCATCCCAAAACACAGGGCTTATTGCAAAGCCCGAGAAAGGTCCAGAAGTCCCAACCATATTTTGGGGACAAAGAAACCAAAGGGTATAAAGGGAGAGCTTCCTCCATATTGGCTTGCTCAGAATTTGGAGAGAAACAGTCTCCCCTGAGTCACTGTACTAGTACATGTGAAACATCTGAAAATCATTGAGTTTTTCCTATATCTCCAAATACTCCTGTGTATTTTTTGGTGGCCTGGTAAATTCTGTAACATAATATCTATCTATTATCTATTTATTTATCTATCTATCTATCTATCTATCTATCTATCTATCTATCTTGTATCTCTCCAACTATCTAAATATCTTAAAAACCATGAGTTCACATCAATATTTCCAATTCTAATCCATCATCCCAGAGCTCATTGAAGTTGTGAGAAATAGCTCACCTGTCCAAATTTGAAATAACGAACTAGGAAACAGAAGCATGGGAAAAATGAGACTTTTAATAACAGTCTTGAGAGTGGGCGCCCACAGGAACACATGTGGGGCAGGGAACATAGCCTATTTATTGAGACCCTCCTCCAGTTCCTCAGTGGCTGAGGACAATTTGGTCACTTATTTCCTAATAGGTCACCTAAGTCTTGCCATCTGCCTTGGGGTCATTTATAAAAGTACTGGTAGGCGGGGCCTTTTCTAGCTGCCTCTACCTCTAGGGGAATCTTCCTAGGACACGTGCTATGTGTACAGGTCATACCCTTCCCCACCCCCCACATCCTGTTTGCTCTGGGGAAATTCAGCAATGGCCTGGCCACATGCTGTTTCTTTTCTATGACAATACATTAGAGGCCAGTCCAAAGGTTATTTTGCCCAGTTCCAGCACTCCAAAGGTTGGAGGAGTAACACCTACAAGACAGTGCCTCTGAGATGACAACTCCAATTCCATTTTGAAATGGTTCCATTAGTAAGGTTTCTTACAAAGGTTACTCCCTTTCCGTATTTGTATCTCCCTTCTCTAACAGTGAAACTCCCATTATCTTGAATTTATTTACTTATTTGATCAAGTCCTTTGGATACAGCCGTAAATATTTCAATATCTTTGCCACCACACCCTCCCCAGTACAGATGTCCTCCTAACCTCCTCGGGCTTTGGGAACCTGTGCTGGCCATCCCCACCAAAGAGGATGCCTCCCTCATTCCACTTGGGCTGCAACACTCCACGTGGGATATACTTTTGGGCAAACAAAACCCTTGCTTTCAAGGAAGGTAACATTTGGCAACGTAAGATATAGTCAAACCTCTGAAGAATTTTTGTGTGTTTGAGCCAAACTATCGATAATGTCTAAGCAAAATCTCAAAAGATTGAGAAAATGCTCCAGAGAATGGCAGTTTTGCACCTTATCCTATACATTACAACCAAAAGAGGAGATGTAAATGGGTTATATAAAATCCACTGGTGATAGGTTAGGACAGTAGTCGGCAAACTGCGGCTCGAGAGCCACATGACTGATGAGTTTGCCGACCACAGGGATAGGGGCTTAATCACAAGGAACAAACTTGGAATAGAGAGTCTTAGGAGAAAGCAAAGTGGTGAAATCTCTGGGACTGGGCAAAAAAGTAGAATGATAGACATATACTTCTTTTGTGAGTGCAGGATAGTTAATAGTTAACAATTAATTCAATAACAATGAGGGGGCTTATGGTCTCTGCTGAGCAGTGCCTGTACTTCTAGAAAAAAGGAAGATTGCTTTGTCATTCCAAAGATATGTTATCATAGACGCAAAAGGAGAATGGACCGGCTGCTAGGGTAAAGGTTGACCTTTGTCTGGGAAGATGCCGACCTAGACATGACTACCCACCATAAACTGCTTTTCGTTAAAAAGTTTTAACTTCAGACAATCCTTTGTGATTACTTTTGGTCTCTGAGTTTGCAAGGCTGCCATGCAGGCTTTCCCTGAGCTCATCAGGTTAGCATGTGGCCCCTTTTTGTCCACACATTCGAATGCTGGGAAAGGGGGAATAGAGAAATAAAAATAATAATAAAATTGTTAGGTCTGATCGAAGAATTGAATCAATACCTCTGCCCCGGGAACCGGGTTTTCCAGTCATTTCACTGCGGACCTTCCCTTTGGTGAGACCACATTTCATCCTCTCCCCTCCAGGTATGCATAAAGAAGTGTCCACCCAGACAAAGCCTGCCAAAAGTCCTTTAAAAGCCGCTGGCTCCTGGTACTGGGTGCTGGAGCCATCCAGGCTCAGCTACCTGGTGTGCGGATGATGGAATAAATTCGTAACCCCCCACCAAAAATGGAGCCACTTCAAAATGGAGTTGGAGTTGCTATTTCAGAGGAACTGTCTTGTAGGTGTTACTCCTCTAACACCTTTGCTTGAACTGGGCAAAATAACCTTTGGACTGGGCCTAACGCAGCATTTTATGCCAAACAACTGTTTGCAAAGGTAACAGGAAAGCAGATATTCTGGCTACTGGACTGATAATTACAGACATTCTTCAGAATTAGCACCACCATGCTTAAAATTATGTCTGTTATAAAATTATCCAGACAAAGAATGAAAGTAAAATATTGTATTGGACAAACAAAAACTGGGAGTTTACTATCAGCGGATTAACTAAAGGAAATCCTAAAGCACGATTTTTTTCTCAGATGGAACGTTAGAAATAAAGGAAGGAACAAAGAACAAAGAAAGGGGTAAATAGATGGGTAATCTAGAAGACCTTGATTATAGAGATTTAAACTATTATTATGTCAATAATACCATAAGTTGGGAGAAGGATATGTGAAATTAAATGCTATAAAATTTCTTGAATTTTCTAAGAAAAATTAGACACACTGCCCTAGTTGGGTTGCTCTGTGGGTAAAGTGTCAGCCTGCAGACTGAAGGGCTCCGGGTATGATTCTGTTCAAGAGCACATGCCATGACTGTAGACTCAATCCGCATAGGGGGGCATGTGGGAGGCAGTCGATCAATGATTCTCTTTCATCACTGATGTTTCTATCTCTCCCTTCCTCTATGAAGTCAATAAAAAATATATTTTTTTAAAATGTAGGTACACTGATTATATTTGATTTAGATAAACCAAGGATGCTTAATGTAATTTTTACTGAAAGTAAAAAGAAAAAGAATATATAACTGCAAAAAAGTGTAAAAAATAATAAAAGCTCAGTCAATCCAAAAGAAATAGAAAAGGTGAGAAAAGGGAACATAAAACATATGGAACAAGAAGAAAGCACATAATAATATAATAGATTTTAATCCAAATATATCAGAATTTACATGAACTGTACATAGAATAAGTGCTTCAGTTAAAAGACAAAGAGTATCGAACTGAATAAAAAAAAAACAAACAAAGGAAACCCTGCAATTTACGAGACACATCTAAATCGTAAGGATATAAAACGTTTGAGAGTTAAGGGAAAGTAAAAATACACCATGTTAACTAGAAAAGACAGTTGTGTGGCTGTGCTAGTATTAAACAACACAGATTTTAAAGTAAAAAGCATAACTAGAAATAAAATAGTCACTTCGTAATGATTACAGGTTCAATTTATCAGGGAAAGGTGATAAATCTACCTTTGAATGCATCTAATAATTATGACTTAAAATACATAAAACAAAAATTGATAGGACCACAATGAGAAACTGAAAAATCCATAATAATGGGCTATTTTAACAAGTCTCTCAATAATTGTCAGGACAAGCAGACAAAGATCAGGAAGCACATTGAAGATTTGAACAACATGATGAGCAAGCTTAATTTAATGGACATATCAGTTTATGCAACACTCCAATAACTGTAGAATGCATATTCTTTCAACCAAGTAATATTATCACTTCTCGGCCTTGTGGGTAAGATCAAGTGTAGTAGCTGTTCTTATCAGTTTAGTATCTGATATGTCCTGTATCTGAGGACAATATATTAAATGGATTTTTGAAATTAGGAGATGGAATAGGAGCTTGCTTTGTCCACTCCACCCATTGACCTGGTATTACAGTACTTCTAGGAATGATGCGTGTGCGAGCACACACACACACACACACACAACCAAGGAATATTTAAAAAACCTGGGTATATACTGGACTATACAGCAATTCTTGATACATTTTAAGTGATTGAAATAATAGAATGTGTGTTTTATGACCACAATGTAATTATTGTCAGGAACCAATACAAAGAGATAACGAGAAAGTAAATCCTTTTGTGTATGCACATTGTATTAGTCAGCTATAGTTAGGTAATCATGCAAACAATCCCAGACTCTCCTTGACTTGCAACACAAGTATTTCTCATTCGTGTTATTGCTGTCGCTATTGCAGCTGTGTTCCAAGCTAGGTTAACTTTAGGGCTGCTTCCTGTGTCTTTTTATTCTGAGATCCAGGCTGATGGAACAACCTCCATGTGGGACATGCCATTCTCAAGGCAGAAGGCACTCGAGTGTAAAAGGTCTAGCCAAACCACACAATCACATTTGAAGCTCTGCACAAATATAGCATACATCTATCTGCTCAATAGCTCATTGGCCCAAGAAAACCACATAGTCAAGCCCAAAGCCAATAGCATGTATTATACTACTTCAAGTTAGGAGGGAATAATTAATTGAAAAAATATATATATATCTATGACTTCAATCAAATAATACATTCATTTTTATTTTTGGTTGATAAATATTGAGAAGTTTTTTTTTTAAAAAAAGTATATTTTATTGATTTTGTACAGAGAAGAAGGGAGAGAGATACAGAGTTAGAAACATCAGTGAGAGAGAGTCATCAATCAGCTGCCTCTTGCACACCCCCTACTGGGGATACCCGCAACCAAGGTACATGCCCTTGACTGGAATCGAACCGGGGACCCTTCAGTCCCCAAGCCGACGCTCTATCCATTGAGCCAAACCAATTTCAGCAAATATTGAGAAGTCTTTAATGACCAAAGCCTCAGTGTTAACAAAGCAGAGCGAAGCTGCTGGAAAGCCAGTTGCCTGAAGGATTTATCTTATATGAAGTCATGATAGCCTTTGGAATGAAAAAGTCACCACTCCACTTCCTTCTGAGAGAGATTCCAAATGCCACGGAAAGTTCAAGGCACTAAAATACCCTGATTCCTTACAGATCCGCACGCCTGGAATAAAGATCCAGGATGTTTTAAATGTTACCTAGTTAGATGGACAAAAATAATCAGTCTTAGAATACTCTTAATCTTAAACTTATTTCTTAAGCTTTGTCAAGTTATAGACAATATTATTATGAAACCACATAGAAACTGATTGCATCCTGACAAATAAAAACAGTTTGAGCCGAAACCGGTTTGGCTCAATGGATAGAGCGTCGGCTTGGGGACTGGAAGGTCCCAGGTTCGATTCCAGTCAAGGGCATGTGCCTTGGTTGCGGGCATATCCCCAGTAGGGGGTGTGCAAGAGGCAGCTGATCGATGACTCTCTCTCATTGATGTTTCTAACTCTATCTCTCTCCCTTCCTCTCTGTACAAAGTCAATAAAAATATATTAAAAAAATAAATAAATAAAACAAAAAAATTTTAGAAAAGGATCTCAGAATTTGTTTTTGAAGCTATGTTAATGCAAAAGATAACTTCTATACTTTTAGACAACACGGTATTTTAATTGTTAAAATAATACGAATCTGTGGTTATCGCATGGTGTCGTTTTGCTGGTGCTGCTAGAGACATTCTTGCAAAGTGTGGACTTGGAATTGAAAGTTTGGATGACCTCACTTCAGCTGCTAAATTCAGGAAATAGACTTTTGTTGATTTGATACTTCCTGTATCACTCAAATTTATCTGTAAATTCAAATCCTGCACCTACCAATCATTTGCTTCATAAAGGTTCTTTCTTGCCTAAGGAGGCCTTTTGACAAGATAAGAGATACCTAAAGTTTTGTCATGGAAATAAACTGCCCAGTTTCTACCCATATTATTTCAGTGGTAAGATATTTCCTATGTTGGAGAGATTATTCATAAATTTTGAAAAATGTTCATAATTATTTTCTTCTTTTTATTCCCATTATAACAGTCCATATGCCATCCAACCATAAGGCAGGGAAACTGGGAGAATTAAAAAAATATTATATCCTGTTTAAGAAGCTGGATGCAGTAATAAAATTTACCTTATTTGTGTATTTTATAATGCATTATTTCACTGACAAGATAATTTTATCTCTATCACAAATAAAAATGTAATGCTTTAAAAATATTTTTATTTATTTCAGAGAGGAAAGGAAAAAAAGAGAGAGATAGAAACATCAATGATGAGAGAGAATCATTGATCAGCTGCCTCCTGCATGCCTCACCCTGGGCATGTGCCCTGACTGGGAATCAAACATGACTTCCTGGTTCATAAGTCAGTGCTCAACCATAGTCCTTGTGCTCAAATAGGGATTCTTCCAAAGAGGAGATAGGTACCACAGAGTAAGTACAGTGATTGAGTACTTGTGAGGAGACTGTAACCACAGGCAGCAAAATCTTAGACATTTCTCTTAGCAATATGTTTATGGATACATCTCCTAGGGTAAAGGAAACTAAGGATAAAATAAACAAATGGGACTACATCAAAATAAAAAGCTTCTACACAGCAAAAGAAAACATCAACAAAATGAAAAGGGGTCCCACTTTGTGGAAGATTGTATTTGACAATGATAAGTGCGATAAAGCAGTGGTTCTCAACCTTTCTAATGCCGCGGCCCTTTAATACAGTTCCTCATGTTGTGGTGACCCCCAACCATAAAATTATCTTCGTTGCTACTTCATAACTGTAATTTTGCTACTGTTAATGAATCGTAATGTAAATATCTGTGTTTTCCGATGGTTTTAGGCTCTACAGCAGTGGTTCTCAACCTGTCATGACCCACAGGGTCACCTAAGACCATCGGAAAACACAGATATTTACATTTCAATTCATAACAGTAGCAGAATTACAGTTTGACTGGCAAAGTGGAAAACAAGAGAAAAGCTATTCTTTTCCCCCGATGATATGATTACATACTTAGAAAAACTGAGTCTATTAAAATAAAAAGTTACCAGAATTAAAAAGATAATTGGGTAATGAAAATGGATTTTAAAATGTATAAAGATCAAGAAATTTTCTCTATTAAATGTGGAAATGGGAAAAATACTGTATTTATAATAGCAATAAACATAATAAGATACTTAGATATAAATTTGACAAGACACAGTATATATATATAAAAAAGCTACAAAATATTATTATAAAACTCCAAATGAAGATCTGAATAAATGCAAAGGCATACCATGTTTTTGAATATGGAGACAATATTTTAAAATGTCAATTCTCCATTACACACACACACACACACACACACTTCACACAATTTCACTTAGAGTGCTCACAGGATTTTTTTCAATTAGTTAAAATAATCTTAAGCCTTACACAAAAGATAACTGAGATTCTATGGAGGAAAAACAATCAGATATCAGAACTTACTAGTATTTATCACTAGTTAGAGCAGTGGAGCTGAACAGAGAATTCAGAATTAATATACATGAGAGATTTATATATAATAAAATAAGCATTTAAAAATTACCTTCCCTTTAAAAAATATTTTATTGATTTTTTACAGAGAGAAAGGGAGAAGGATAGAGAGCTAGAAACAATGATGAGAGAGAAACATCGATCAGCTGCCTCTTGCACACACCCTACTGGGGATGTGCCCAAAACTGAGCTACATGCCCTTGACCGGAATTGAACCTGGGACCTTGGGAATTGAAGTCTGCAGGCCAATGCTCTATCCACTGAGCCAAACCAGTTAGGGCATAAAAATTACCTTCCCTTTAAAAAAATTTTTTTAGAGAAATGTGTTTTTATTATTATTTTTAAAATATATATATTTTATTGCTTTTCTTACAGAGAGGAAGGGAGAGGGATAGAGAGCTAGAAACATCAATGATGAGAGAAACATTGACTAGCTGCCCTTGACCGGAATCAAACCTGGTACATGCCCTTGACCAGAATCAAACCTGGGGCCTTTCAGTCCGCAGGCCGATGCTCTATCCACTGAGCCAAACCTGTTTCGGCTGTGTTTTTTTTTTTTTTTTTTTTAAAATATATTTTATTGATTTTGTACAGAGAGGAAGGGAGAGAGAGAGAGAGAGATAGAAACATCAATGAGAGAGAGTCATCCATCAGCTGCCTCTTGCACACCCCCTACTGGGGATGTGCCCGCAACCAAGGTACATGCCCTTGACCGGAATCGAACCCGGGACCTTTCAGTCCCCAAGCCGACGCTCTATCCATTGAGCCAAACCGTTTTCGGCTCGGCTGTGTTTTTATAATTAATTTTAGAGAGAGGAAGGGGGAGGAAGAGAGAGAAACATCACTGGGAATTGAACTAAAAACCTCTCAGTGCATGGGGCAATGTTCAACCAACTGAGCCTCCCAGCCAGGGCAATAAAGGAAGCAGTTGAATTCAGTAAGTAAAGGATGAACTATAAAGAAAAAAAATGTTTCTTTCTCAATGGATAGAGCGTCTGCCTGTGGACTCAAGGGTCCAGGGTTCAATTCCGGTCAAGGGCTTGTACCTGGGTTGCGTGCACATCCCCAGGAGGGGACGTGCAAGAAGCAGCTGATCAATGATTCTCTCTCATCGATGTTTCTAACTTTCTATCCCTCTTCCTTCCTCTCTGTAAAAAATCAATAAAATATATATATATATAAAAAAAAGGATGAACTATGTTTTAAATGACAGGTTCAACCAGTTACCCTGCATGATGAAAGTACGTTTGAATCCCTATCTTACTTGATACGTACAAATTCCAGCTGGAATAAAAAGATAAATGTAAAAAAAAATAGAATAAACATTTTACAAGATAATTTAGGAGGCTATATGCATTTTTCTAAGGATCAAGGAGATCTTTTTAATCAAGACTGGAAACCCAGAAATTATAAAAGAAAAGGTAAACATATTTGACAAGAGAACATTTTTAAATTACATTATAAATGGTACCATAAACAAAATTCCTGGGCAAATGATAGATAGTACTTGTAATATAGATT